AAAAAAAAAAAAAAAAAAAAAAAAAAAAACACAATCAATGGGAGGATAGTAGTATTTAGAACATGAATTGAATAAAAATTAATACTTTTGTGCCCTAACATTGATACTCTAATTCAAGAACATTCACAAGATTTAAATTTTGTTTACAGCATTATCTTCATAATTGAAAATGAGACAAGTGGCATCGGGAAATAGCTTGCCGATAACACAACCGCTCCAGCTGGGCCCAAATGCTCTGCGTAGAGGGATCCAATTAATCCAGTGGAAGGGAACCCTCAGTATATGTTTTCTCCTTTGGAAGAAAAGGAACATAATGATAATCACCTCTGTGGCGTCAGAACTTTTTGGGCACTAGGGTATAAAAAGGGGTGATATGACTGACAACGTGCACATTCTGCAGTTTAGCTTACGAAATAGTCGAGGGGCCAACCACAAGGGTCTAGGCACGATTCACCTCCCGAAATAATTGAGAAGCTAACTACAAGAATGTAAGACTGACAAACATAAGCATGTAACTTGGGGTAAATTCTATTGTATGGCTTGACTTTTTGTTATTGTGCTACAATAAGGCTTGATTTTTAAAAAAAATCATTTAAAGGTTTCAATTTTAAGTTATTCTCAATACCCCGAGTGGGTTATGTGTAAGCAGGACGATGCCCCCGATCGTCCTGCTTACACATAACCTACTCAGTTATTAAATAAAAACTCCCAATTAAACTAACCAACAACTCAAACAACTAGAAAAGACCCCAACAGGGTAATACCTGAGTGTCGGATCCCAACAGGATAATAAATTTGACACCCGGGGGCACAGAGGCCAAACGGCCCAAACCAAAAACACAAACCTAGACACAAATACAAACACATACACAGATACGCAAACAACACAAAACAAAAACAACAACTAATATAATTAAAAAATTTAATAGCCCTCCCCTTGCTAACGAGCAGTCCCCACCAGCAGAGAACGAACGACACAAGAAGGAGTCCCAGCCCGAGAAACCACTACTGAAACTGCGCAACCGCCTATAAAGTAGCCAAAATTGAGCCCCGAACCCTTCCCCAAATCGACCCACTTCCCACCGAGAGAAAAACGTCCAACCCCCAGCAGCCCCTCCCGAACCCGTCTAACACCACTAGCTGAGCCCACGAGAAACCAGGTTCCTGGACCCCTGCCGCCTAACACCACTAGCCGAAACGGTTCCTCAACCTCGAAAGCCGCAGCAGCCGAGACCTCACCCCATCCACAGACCATACACCACCAAAACTACCACAAACCCCGACGACCAACGACGCAACCCCACCGTAAGCTCCACCGAAAAATAGAAACTCTCGGAGAGGAAGCCAATCGAAGCTCGAAATAGAGAGTTAGGGGGATTACCACCCGCTATCAAAGGTCCGCCTGGCAACTGGGAAGCAAGGCCACCAATCACTGGCCGGAATCCGACCAGGTATACGACACCTCCTCACACAATTCCGCCATCGATGGAGAGCTGTATTGCACCAAGTCGCAGCAAAATTGGGGCGCACGAACTCCAGCATGGGGTGAGCGGTTAGGGGTGACCGCCGACGAGCCCCACCGTCCCCAAAGGAGCCAAATCGACGGTAAGATTTGAGCGGCGACGGATTAAGTTTTTTTTCCCAAATCGCAGAGAGAGAGAGAGAGAGAGAGAGAGAGACCGGACCTATAAGACTGTGTTTCAAAAATATCTACTTTTACATTATACTTTTCAATTTTAGACTCCAAATCACTTTGTATTTTAAATAAACTTATAGAAAATATTATTTGTGAATAAAATTTATATTTTGAAAAGTTTAGAATATATAAAATTAATACTCGAAAAATTCTATTATTGTAATGCCCCGTATTTTATTAATAAAGGAAAATACTAGCTTTTAGTTTTAAGCTAGCCTTTATTAATAAAT